CAAGACGCTATATTCCAGTGGTTGTCAGCCTCGAGGCCTGACCCCAACAAGGTCTCATAAATGGCCAAGCAGTTTTAAAACGGAGTACTTGTCAATTAAAATAGGTGATGTTTTGTGTTCAGTTACAATAAAAATAGGTAGTGTGTCAATGAAGAGCTTAGCGGTTACTTGTGCAAACCTAATGTATGTAACTTTTTCTGGTTGATATAACCATATAGTTTTATTTATGGTAATTTACATGTGATTATCATTGCTCTATTTTAAAAGATTATCTGTTTCTGTAAGGAACGCTCTAACTCATTACAATTATCATTACTAATGTATATTGTACAGTCGTCAGCAAACAGACTCCATGTTATACTGAGAAGGTCGTTATTATAAGTGGCAAATAATAGTCGACATAATATTGAGCGCTGAGGTATGCCTACATTCAACTGTGTAGGTTTTGAATTTCGGTTACTGAAGGATTCAACTTGCTGTCTATCAGAGAAAAATTATTTTGTAAATTTCACTAAAATATCGTTAGTTTTCAAAGTTTTCAATTTACTAATTACAATACTGTGATCAACTTTGTCAAGGGCTTTCCTATAGTCAACAAAGACTGCACCGCAAATTTTGCTTGGTTGATGTCAAAGCGCCAGTTGTCTGTCATTTTTGTCAACGCAGTATGAAAGAGTGATTAGGTCTGAATTCTGACTGGCTACCAACTATCAGATTGTTATTTAAATGTTGATACTTTATTTATGTGTTTCTCTAATGGATTAGACAGTAAGGACAGTAGTGAAATAAATCTATCCAAGAGAACTGTTGTTAGCTGAGCCAGGTTTGAGCAGAGTATACACTTTTGCAATTTCAAATGCTGAAGGAAAGTTCTTAGCAAGGCACTGATTATATATGAATGTTAAAGAATCACTAAGGATTGGTGGAGACTGACAGAGAGAGAGAGAGAGAGAGAGAGAGAGAGAGAGAGAGAGAGAGAGAGAGAGAGAGAGAGAGAGAGAGAGACAACGTTTTGATAAACCGTTCATACCTTTCTCAATTTAGTGAAACGTTAACATCCTAGTGATTGTTTAATTTTCCAAATCAAGAAAAATTAATTATGTTATAACCAACCATGCTCACCCATCTCGTTATCATTAATGAATATGTCTTTCTGTAGTTTTGTTTTAGCATTCAAAAATTTCGACACTGAGTGCAACGATGGCCGAGCTGAAACTTCTACAAACAACTGTTACTCAGACTTGTATTTTTCAGTAAGAGGTGTTCTGTACCAGTGGATTTGACGGTAGACAGCCTGTTAAGCTATACAGACTGCTTAGTTCTTTAGTCAGTAAAATAGAGAGGGAGCCTCCTAGAGTAGTGTAAAAGAGCCATGGCTTTTCCTGATTTTATAACTGTGATTACTAAAAGCGAGGAGCGGCTGGTCGAAGGGTTAGAACGCTTGGTTTTTAAGCGGAAGACCCGGGTTCATATCCTGGGTGGAGAAGTGGATTTTTTTCTGTTAGAGGCAAATTTTCTTTTAAACATCCAGAAACCATGAGTTGTTAACTCTTTGGCTCGGTACTAGGAATATCGTAAACTTTCGGCTTTGATTCCATGGTTTGGCAGATTACTTAATGTTGTATCCAGTAGGTCTCCTAAAGCCTACATGAACGAGAGATATATAGAACCACGCCCGTTAAGTATTGTTTAATCAAAATATTAAGTAACTGAACTGTCTCCTTTATGTCCAGGGTCGCAAAGTAACTAAAATGTGGAAGGGAGGAGAAACTTTATCTCTTGGTAAGTATTTCAGCCTTTATTTATTACAGAATGTTAAATAAAATATTCAACGACCCACCCACACAGGGCTACAAGTCCTTCGCAAACGGTGTGTGGTGCCCCAGTATAACAGTGCTGTATGGTTATACAATGTCAACAGACAATACTGGCAATCCCCAACAATAATAATAAAATATAAAGAAATTGAAAATGTCGCAAAATTTGAATATTTAGGTTCCACAATAAATAGCAACAGAGGCTGTTCGACGGAAATCAAAACGAGGATGACCATAGCAATATAAAGTTTAAACAGCGTTAAAAGTCAATGGTTAAACACCTGTAAGAAAACCACAGTGAAAATTTTGAGAGCATGTGTTTTCCTTATAACAACACACGGATGTTAGTCGTGGACTATCTCCCAGTCTTTAAGAGAGAAAAATATTGGCTTTTGAACCATCATCATCAAGAGTTTTAAGTGTTTCATTATCAAGTGATTCTAACACAGTGCAAACATGGACGTCTCTGCAGGATCTGGACAATATATGGCTGTGTATGTAGATCTTGTAAACGTTAAAATATGTATGTTGTGTACGTTGTATGTATAATAAACTTACTCTGAGCTTCAAATAGTTTGATATGTCTCTCTAATTTAGGTATGGACTTTCTGCAGTTCCATGCAAGAATGTCATCACTACCCTTACCTACACGCCTAGATACTTCATCTTCTTTGCGCCTGCAGATGCCATTGAGAGACATACCAGGATTACCTTCATCTCCCACTAAATTAAGTCCTCCTCTTGGGCGGGCTACTTCACGACCTGCGGTTTCCATGACAGAGTCGTGTCTTCCAACACTGGCTTTGAATTCAAGTCTAAACGCTATGAACTACATGCAGACTGTCAAAAATGAACACCTTAAACAACCATCATACAGCTCTCCCCCACCAATCGCCAACAATCCAGAGCACAACATCTGCAAGTTGGTCGAGTTCCGTGGAGCTAAGATTGCGGCATTTACGGTGGACAGCCGGGAGTTGATCTGCCTCCCTCAGGCTTTCGAGCTGTTTTTGAAGCACCTGGTCGGAGGGCTTCATACAGTGTACACTAAACTCAAGCGCCTGGAAATTATACCTGTGGTTTGTAACGTGGAACAGGTGAGGATTCTTCGAGGTCTTGGAGCGATTCAGCCTGGGGTTAACAGGTGTAAGCTTATTTCGTGCTCCGAGTTTGAGATCTTGTATGATGACTGCACCAACTCCAGGTAAGTCTAGGAACCAGCCATTTCTCTTATGTCTTCTTCCCTCTTGAATTCATCCCTCTTTATGTTCATCATTTAACCCAAGCATCTGTTTTCGAATGCATTTATTTATTATTTAACCCAATCATTTGTTTTCTAATGCATTTTACTTTCATTCTATGCCTTTAGTAGTTCTCCAACGTTCACTGGCATATATTAAAATTGAAATGACACTAGAATTGAAAATACTAAACTTAGTTTTAAAACTATAGTTTAGAGTTCCATATTTTATTCAGGTTTTTAAAAGCTATATTTTGTTCACGCTTTTAGAAGCCGCTGCCGTATTGCTATTCGGGACTTAGTCGCTGGTCGGGACAGTATTTGGGTCAACACTACAAGAGTTTTTATCAGAGCTACTTGGTGGTAAGCGATGCAAAGCCATTTTATATGGCGCACATAACTGGGTCACCTGGGTAAAGATTCGACATGACATCACTCACGACAAGCCCATATTCGCTCGGTCTCCCGCCTTAACAGAGAGCGAAGACATATAGAGTTTATAGCATAGTAACAATTAAAAACTAAAGGTTCCACCTTCGGAGATGATGGTTAAACGTGACGATTTTTTCCCTGCGAAGCTATTACCACCAGCCAATGTGCGTCATATTTTCCTTTCTTAGTGTTTTCGTCGCTATCAAAATTGCTAGTTTAGTAAAACAACAGACAGACAATAAATGTTGAGACTGGCTTGCGATGTTCTTAAGAGGACGTGTAACGAACTTGTTATTTACTAATTTACTCACTGAAACTTGTGTTTGATTGTGCTTCTGTCCAACTAGCTACCCCTCATGACATGTGCTGGTTTATTGTGTCCCCACGTTTTGTGCGTGTGTGTGTGTATGTGTGTGTGTGTGTGTGTGTGTATATGTGTGTGTATATATGTGTGTGTGTGAATCCTTTGCTTTGTGCCGCTAGGTGGAGTTGCATGTTTAAAGATGATTGGTATCCGAGGTAGGGCAGGCTCGTTTGCCCAGTATGCTGTGAGGTTGTAGATTCTCAAAGTATCACAGTTACTTCCTCATTCCATATCCTTCTTGGTTATCCTCTACATATTGGCATATCTACTTTGATGCTGTACGATCTCGTTGATGGCATCATTTGATTCATTCGTCCATGTTTATATCACAAATGGTATGGCTTTATCTACGTTAATTTGATATCGGTTTTCAAACGTCATAGATCCCCCTTTCCCATCCCCACACACCCCAATTTAAACAAAAAATCATAAACTACCAACCAATAAAGAACTAAAAAGAACCTAACTTTAGATTAGCTATCTCTCCGGGTAATACGATATTTCGAGAATTCTGGTTTAATGTTTAACACGTCATTGCCAGGAACTATGAAAAAACTTGAGGGCGGCGCGCAGATACAACTGGTCAGATTGTATCATTGGCGTGAGAGGATAAATATCTTTTGATGGGAGATTGGCATGGAAGTTAAGAGAGAAGAAAAGAAGTCATAACAACTGAGCGTGCAAGTAGTGGAAGAATAAAGGTTTACTGTTGCGCTTGGGTGGCGCATGGAGAATGTTTTTTTTTTTTTTAATCCATCGAGAAAGATTTTGAAGATTACATTAGACAAGGAGTTGTTGGCAGGCAAGTCGTTATCATTTGAAAACCAGCCCAACATACGTGGGGGAACAGAGATCGGTAGACCATGACTAGTTGTCACACACGGCGAATTGGTTTTGTATTTGTTTGGCGATCTGTCTTTTCCGACCGGTTGCCTTGTTAATCCCCACCCCACATTCGTTAGGTTAACTAGCTGTTTAAATAATACGTCAAAAAACAGACTTAATAAGGAACTGCAAGCAACCAACAGAGTGATGGAAGAAAGAGAGAAAGCACGGAAAGAGGCAACAAGAAGGCAGCAAATACAGGGAGCCGAGACCCAGAAAAAGCCACATCAAACACCAGATAAGAAAACTCCAACGCCGCTGA